GCTGGGGTGAGGGGTGGGAAGTGGGAGGAGAACGTCAGGATGGGAGGGCCGTGCCAAGTGGTGGAGGTCCAGAGGCTGGAACAGCTTGCTCTCTGCATGTGTGTATGTGACGCCTTGAGTACAGAAGATGTTTTACTCAGGGTGTGCTCTAACATATGTGAATTTAAAGCATACTGCATTCTTTTTTTTCTTACTTAATTAAAAAAAATTTTTTTAATGTTTATTTATTTATTTTTTTTCAACGTTTATTTATTTGGGAGCAGAGACAGAACATGAACGGGGGAGGGGCAGAGAGAGGGAGACACAGAATAACGGAAGTAGTCAGGTCTGCCATCAGCCCAGAGCCACCACGCCCAAACTCACGGACTCCTTAGATGGTGACCTGGCTGAGTGGAGCGTTAACCGACTGGTCAGCATGCCACCTAGGCTTCAACGCTTTAGTCTATTTTGAGAGACAGTGTGAGTGGGGGAGGGACAGAGAGAGAGGGAGACACAGAATCCGAAGGAGGCTCCAGGCTCCGAGCTGTCAGCACAGACACTTAGTGCACGCCACGGACCTGGAGATCATGGCCTGAGCTGAAGTCAGACGATTAACCAACTGACCCGCCCAGGGGCCCCTTCTTCTTTAATTTTTTGAATAGGATGCTTCACTTATCATGGTTCAAAATGCAAAGAGTATGAAATAGTAGCCAGGAAGAATCTCTTTCCCACCCTTACCTCTCAGATACCCACTTCCCCACCCCACAGACAACCAATGATACTTGCTCTTCAAGGGACAGTTTATCATTTTGCAAGAAAAAAACATACACGAAACTGTTTTTCTCCTGGTTTACACAAACGAAACCGCATTATACACACTATATTGCAAGCTGTTTTTTGCGTTTAATCACTCCGGGGAATCTTTCCATATCAGCACATGTGAATATGCTTACCCTTTTCTTGGATTGCATGATACTCCTTTACATGGATGTCCCCTAATTCATCTAAGCAGTCCCCAGCTGATGGGCATTTAGCCTATTTCCTAACAGTGGCCATTACAAAAAAATCATGAAATGAATAAGCTGGTTAGATATGCTATATTCTAAACTGTGCTTTTATTCTGTTAAGAGTACGGATGATTTTTATCCAGTAAAACGTATCCGCAATTGAATGCAGCAGGCCGAATTTATTGAATAAACATGGGCCATTGAAAATTTGTTGTCACATGTATTGGATTCAGCAGGGTATCCTTCATAAGAAAGCTTAGCTATTAACAGCAGTGCATTTTTAAAAACAGATCATGTAAGGGGCGCCTGGGTGGCTCAGTCGGTTAAGCGTCCGACTTCAGCTCAGGTCACGATCTCGCGGTCCGTGAGTTGGAGCCCCGCGTCGGGCTCTGGGCTGATGGCTCAGAGCCTGGAGCCTGTTTCCGATTCTGTGTCTCCCTCTCTCTCTGCCCCTCCCCCGTTCATGCTCGGTCTCTCTCTGTCTCAAAAATAAAAATAAACGTTAAAAAAAAATTAAAAAAAAAAACACCATGTAAATATTGAGTGATTCTTAGCATCAGCTGACTTAGCATGGTGAGAACCAAGGGTGTGTGCTTAAAGCAATCAGGGCAGTGAGAACAGAATGAGGCCTCACTGCTCTGTAGGTTTAAGAAGCTCTGAACTTGGGGCTTAGAAATCTGAGTTTGGTTCCGTACCCTGCCAGGGTGTCTTTTTCGGTAATATAGGGACAATGATTCCTGCTCTATGTGCCTGGAAGTTGTTCTGAGGATGAAATGAGAAATTACTTCACATGTGTGAAACTGGTTTATAAACTATTTATTTTTTAATATTTTATCTATTTTTGAGAGGGAGAAAGACAGTGCTCTCATGCAAGCAAGGGAGACACAGGGAGAGGGGGAGAGAATCCCAAGCAGGGCTCGAACCCAAGAACCAGGAGATCGTGACCTGAGCCAGAATCAAGAGTCGGGCACTTAACCAGCCGCCCAGGAGCCCTGAAATTGGTTTCTAAACTATAGATGTCTGAACCAATGTTAAATCCTGTTCTATTGTTCATAGTCCTGGTTTTGGGGGTCTGTACATAATCCATCTATGTCATCAATTCTGAAATAAGTTTCATAGAAGAAATGACACTGAGCATGACCATTTTGATGAAAAGGAACCAAAATGGTGGCCCTTAAACATCCTAATATTTTAAAAACCGATTAAGTAAAGAATCAGAAAGGAAAGGATTACTACTGGCTAACTACCCCAACTCTTTTTGTACCCTCCCCACCTCCCCACCTCATCTATAGTTATTAAAATCAAGTTCACTGCTAACCATCTTGATAGGAGATAAATCTGGAAACCACTCAAATCTGATGCGGTAAGTAGTATCTTTATGCCAATTAACACTGATAATATTCTTGGATTTTCAGGTAACATACTCTCTCTGGATTCATTTGGAAATGATCAATAAAATAATTGGGTGAACAAAGTGTAAGTACTCTGGAAAATGAAATGCTGGGCTGTCTGGATTTGAGAATTATTAGGAAACCCACCCATTTCACTCATTAAAACCTTCAAGATGCGCCATTATCGAAGCAGACAGGTGCCTCGGGCACTTCTCAGTCAATCCATTTAAGCTTCTGCTACTTCTTGTCTAGTCACTGCCTCCATGGCAACAGGCCACTGACCTGCCCTTAAGGGAAACAGAATTTCTGGCAAGACTGAGACTTTTAATAATTCCACTTGTCAATACAGGTCAGAGAGAAAAAGATGGATTTGTACCAAGTTACTTAACAAACTCTCTAACAGAATGAGCAACCTCCAGCAAGTGACCAGACCCAGTGTTCCGAATGTCCCCAGGAAAGCCAAACATCGCGTCATTAGTGGCAAGAAAATCCACACCACCCACACCTGTCCATCAAACCCTTCACGGCACTTGGACTTCTTCTCTCAATGTTTTCCTCGCTTAGCTTTCCCGAGACAGGCCAAAGTGTGCTGGGAAGCTCATCTGAAGTGATAATTAACCTGATTATTCATTTCCTCCAAGATTTCATTGTAATAAATGAATACAAAATGATCTGCAACGAAGGACATCTTTTGTCATGCAAGTTTCCATACGGGAATAGCGTCTAGGAATGTCAGTTTCTAGTGACCAAACTTCCCTCTTGGCCAAGGACTAGTCTCAAGAATTACCGATTCAACTACCCAGAACCCAAACTCTCATCCCAAACATACAAGAGACACTCTTTCTAGTCACCTCTTTTCCTGGAAATATTCTACTATAAAGCCTGCAGTTGTAACAGATTGCCTTTTGGGAGGCATTACTCTCTGACTTGGAAATATAAACACTGCTTCAGAGATTTATTTTATGATTCATCTTCTGATTTGTCATGGCTGGGAAGGTCAGCTTCCAGACTTTCTATTCTAAATTACTTTTGAGCAGATTTTACAAACAGGCTACGGAATGGCTTTTGCCTGAACCAGAACAAACTCTGAAAGTTAGGGCTCAAGTCCCCTCCCTTCCCCTTGGTACAACGGAAACAGTCAGAAGACCCACCATTTCCCAAGTCAATTATTTGTAGAAGTATTAATAACAGGTGCTTTGGAGGCACTGGAGTTATAAAAAGGAAAGTGGCAAATAATTTTTTCATGGGCCAGCTGCTCAGCTGATGTGCTTTTGGGGAAGGTTCTTCTAGGCTCTAAAACTCAATCAGCAAATCAATTAAGATCGTGCCCGTCTCTGCCATCAGGACCGCGCGTGGCCTGCCTCTGCCCTCCTCCCCGTTCCGGTGATTTCTGGTGCGTCCCTGTCCCAAAGCCAAGGCAGCCAGTCAACCTCAGGTTCCTTTGCTTTAGGCTCACACTGGACAACGGGGGAGGGTGGGGGCGCCGCTCCGGTTTAATTAAGGATTAGTAATCACCACTCTGCTCTGCTCGTTGATATCCGTCCCAGTCCAAGCTTGCCTTTGACAGTGGGCTCAGCACAGACTCAGTGGGGGCTGACCGGCATGACTGGCTGTCACTTTCTTTCAGTGGAAAACAGACAGGACCAGGCAAAGCAGATGGTTCCAGAAGGGGCACTTCCAAAAAACCTGCTAGCAAACTGTGGTGGTGCCTTTCAAATAAACAGCAACTTACTGGAGAGGAAAATCAGATCCTCCTCACCACATCCTGCCACCGCCCATCCAGCTTGAACGTCGCGCACTTAGAAGTTTCTAATCCTCACGAGGCATGATAACTCTTCGGTTGGGGCGGAGGACAGCCTGTCTTTTAAGCCTCCCAGAGATAGCCATCATCACCGATAATGGCTCCCACTTCTGTCAGTAAAACCTGTCATCTAGGTAGGACCACCTTCAGGAGAGGGCTGACCCGTGCATCTCACATGGTCGCTCAGTCCTAAGACACAAATACCATGTGTTTGCGTAGCTAGGTGGAACTAGAGGCAGCCAGGAAGGCCTCAAGTGGCATTAAAACCAAGGACTATTTTCATCACAAAACATTAATAAAGTGACAAATAATTATTTGTGAAGTCCTGGCTCCGGCCGTCGGAGTTTGGGCAAATCAATCCACATTTCCGGGCCTCAGTGAGAGCGGACGATTTCTTTTTTTTTTTTTTTTTTTTCCTTTCTTTCTTTCTTTTTTTTTTTTTTAATTTTTTTTACATTTATTTAATTTTGAGAGACAGAGTGAGACAAAGTGAGAGTGGGGGAGGGGCAGAGAGAGAGGGAGACACAGGATCAGAAGCAGGCTCCAGGCTCTGAGCTGTCAGCACAGAGCCCAACGTGGGGCTTGAACCTACAGACTGTGAGTTCATGACCTGAGCTGAAGTCGGACGCTCAACCGACTGAGCCACCCAGGCGCCCCTAGACTGGAGGATTTCTAAGGTTCCTTCTTGCACAAAATTCTAGATTTCTTTGGGCGGGGCTGGGTCTCTGCCAGCATTCTGGTCAATCACATACACAATGAATCAAGCCGTTATTCAGCATAGATTAAAAACAAGAAACTGTTTCTGTCACACGCACTGCTTACCTTTTCAACCGCCGTGTGTTCTTCATTTGCGACACTTGTTTTCCTTGATTCGTTCTTCGACCTGCTCAGCCTCCTGGATACTTTTTCTCTGAGCAGAGTGGCATATCCAATGTGTTCGTAAATGGGGTTTGTTGTCATTTTGGAAATGTATTCAGAAGCTTTTGTTTCTATGTACAGTGTTATCAAGCCGTCTGTGACCAGATCGTGAATCGATTCAAATCTCTTCTCGCCCACGAAGTGCTTTCCATCATAGAAGAGCCTGTAGTTTAAAGTCTGGTTTCCAAACCTGTCCCCAACAGATTGAGAAATCACAACAGTGTCAGAAGCAAGAGCAGTGAAGAAAATCAGCAACTAACAGTTTGTGGGCGTACTGTATGCTAGGTGCTGAACTAGATACTTGGCATGATTTCCGCCCCCCCCCCCCCATCAAATTATCATAGAGAGCCTTTGAGACAGGTAGAATTACTATCCCCCACTTTACGGCTGAGAAATCGGAGATCTGAAGAGATCGGGTACCTGCTTGATGTTATGCCCCTGGAAAGAGGTAGGGGTGGGATTTAACAACCAGGCGGTCATATGGTATCATTTGACCGTAGAAATCACGAAGGCCGTTCGGCCCTGATCATCCTCATTTGTAAAAGGCAGAGGGTAGAGCCTGGTCTACAGATATTTTGCTTTTAAACTTCCGTGTCGAACACTGGCCACACCCCTCTCCCCCTCCCCTATGACCTGGCAATTGCCTCTGCAAGGCCTTGATGGGCCCTTTTTATTACATCTTTGACCGCCACCAGTCGAGGAGCTCATACTTCCCCCCATAGTTAGTGCCACGGAAGGGAGGTGAGGGGAGTTGGGTGAAGCTCCCTCCTGGAACTGCCATTGCCAGGGTCCTAGGGATCTGGGACCAATAAGGGACCTATAAGGTTCTTCCCCCTTTAGTACTGGTTGACCCCTCTTGGCCTTGGTCCTAGATCTCACAGCCCCTGCTTAGTTCCCCACTGGGGCTGCCAGCACTTGTTGCTGGAGAGCTGGGGGACTGGGGGATAGGAAAATACTTTGCACACCTCGGGCACTTACTAGCTTTTGAAGTACTTCCTTATATTGACATCATCTAAGATATGTTCCCTAGGTGCAACTTGGAAAGTGTTCCACAGCCACGATATTCAGATGTCACACTGAATACGCCATTGTGGGCTGGCTGGGACGTGTTTCCAAATGATACCATTCATGCTATGGAGAAAGGTCTTCCCGATTCCAAAGAGGTCATAAGTGAACTTCCAGAAGACAATTTGATCCTGGAATTGGATGCTTTCCCCAAACTTTATGGGATTGCCGTGAGAATCAACTGGCATCACATATTGGATCGAGCTTACAAAGGTGCGGAAAATGCAACGTTTTTCGGGCACTGTGATTTTTTCCAGTTCTTGTGATGTTGTGGTAAAAGGCTGCTGAGAACTCTGCTCCCACGGCTTGCTAGCAAAAAGCATCATGACTGCCACTGGGAGTCAATGGGACCCATGGGTCAACGTGATCCCTGAGAAAACCCCATGGACAAACTCCACGTCGGTCCAGACGCACATACACAACGTGAGGCGAAGACTTATGACAAGGGCTCCAGGGAACTAACTGAGGCAGGGGCGTCGCTCCCTCAGCTGGCTCAGTTTCAGGCAGAAGTGACTATAGGGGCGCTAAATTCCCAGATAGTTTTCCAGTTTACTGTGTGGGCAGAAACAGAACCTCTGTGCCCATCCTACTGACAACATCTGTAGCCTAAGAAGTGTATGAGCCTCTCATACGCTACTGATACTCTGTCAACAAAGCAAAAATAAAAAATAAGCCGTGGGGAATGGGGAGTGATAGGTTAATGGGTACAGAATTTCTGTTTGGGATGATGAAAAGGTCCTGGAAAGGCAATAATGGAGATGTTTGCATAACATTAAGAATGTACTTAACGCCACTGAATCGTACGCTTAAATCTGGCTAAGACGGTGAAATTTATGTTACATATATTTTACAGCAATAAAAAAAAAACGGGGAAAAGTAAATAAAGTCACTCATAAAGCAGCTGCAACAATGGATGGGATCAAGTTCACCTTAGAGCTAACGTGTAGCATCCTGGCTGGCGTTGGCTTTCTCTAAGAATGTAGGCGCCCTCCACGCCTCCGAGAAGCTCGTCTGCCTGCTCCCGGGAGATGATCCCATGAAACCTGAGGAGAGACAGACCGTCCTTGTTCTCGACTGACCACGTACAAAGTATGCACCACAAAGAGTGAGGCTAAAAAAGATGGTGGGGCCACACAGAACCCACTGACCCCGACTGGGAGGAAGAGGGGAATAGTGACCATATATCTTCAAGATGCCTTTGGAACCACTTCTCAGCAGGCACCAAACATATAAGGAGTATTCAGGTAGGCAAAACAAAGGAACAAACACCCAGTCCCCCTGGCTTTCTGCTACTGTCTTGCTCTCAGGCTGAAAATTAAAGTCAAAACAAAAAGCCAGGTGACGACGGCTCCTTCTTTAACCATGGGGAATAACAAAAGGGCAATTACCAACTTAGCTCTCAGTGCAAACACAGAAACTATGTATTGTCTGGATTGCTAATGAACACTATTGATTATCAACCTGCTCACTTCAGGTGCAGGGTGTTGTTAATTTTAGAGACTCATTCTCTGGACATAATAGCCAACTATAATCAACGCTCTTCTATTTCTTTTAATTTTGAGAGCAATCGCCTAGGGATAGGTTTTCAAAAATGTATGTATTTTTCTTTTTAAAGAACGTTTATTATTAGTTTTTTTTAATTTTAAAAGTAATACACATGCATGTAGAAAACACAGCGTATCTAGAGAGAATGCAGGCTTGGCCAATGACGGCTCTGCTCTGGAGGCAGATGTCTGAGACCCACGGAGTGGACAGTGACTCCTGGGAGCCAGGGGCAGGCACTGGACCACTTTCTCTCGTCTTTAAGTAAAGGCAGCTTCCCCTCCCCCACAACCCCCACCATCACTTATCAGAGAGTTGATCAATCCATGTGTCACAGGAGAGACAGAGTGAGGGTGAGGGAGGGGCAGAGAGAGAGGGAGACACAGAATCCGAAGCAGGCTCCAGGCTCTAGCTGTCAGCACAGAGCCCGTCGCGGGGCTCGAACCCACGGATGGTGAGATCATGACCTGAGCTGAAGTCAGACGCTTAACCGACCGAGCCACCCAGGCGCCCCTGGAAATTTTAAATTTAAATCCCAAGAGCCAACAAGTGGAGACCCTGGAGCAGCACCTCTCTGAAAGGAGCACGGATGTGGCATAAAAGCAACCTGACTGCCCCCAAAGAGACCAGCGTCCCCAATTCTTGCAAGAGGGAGACTTAGAGGAATTGGGGCAGAGCTCAGATGCAGGATTGGAACTGACGGATCTGTGTCCGGGACCCTGGAGCCAGAGCAGAGGGGTCTGGGGCTTTGTGCGGGCGGACACTGAACCCTGTGACCCTTGTGAGAACGGCTCCTGTGCAGTCTGAGCTGGGCTGACAGACCTGAAGGAACCCTGCAGATGCTGGGCCAGTGGAAGTGTGTGCAAAGAGCACGTGTGTGAGTGTGTCTATAAGAGACAGAGGTGGGAGGAGAGAATGGGTGTGTGTGGGCATGAGAGGGTGTGTGCATGAGAAAGAGTGTGTATGTGAGAGAAAGAGGGCACGTGTGTATATGAGTGTGTATGTGTGTGTATGAAAGACAGTGTATGTGTGAGAAAGCATGTGTGTATATATAAGAGAGTGTGTGTGAGACAGTATATGTGTGTGCATGAGAGTGTGTGTGTGAGAGCATGTGTACGTATGAGAGAACGTGTGTGCATGAGCGTGTATATGAGAGAAAGTGTGTGTGTGAAAGAAAGAGAGCATGTGTGTATATGAGACCATGTGTGCAAGAGAGAGACAATGTGTGTGTGTGTGTGTGTGTGGTGACAAGGACATGCTAAGGGGCAGGAGGGGCATTGGGCATCAGAAGACACTGGAGTCAGAAAGGACAAAAGCTGGTGCCCCGAGAGGTATGAGCCTGGGACATCCAGGACATCACCTGATGGTGGGCCAGGGCAGGGGAGGCCCACTCTCGGTGGGCAAGAGATATCCCAAACAGGCAGTTAGCCTGAATGCAGTCTTAACTCCCTTGACATGTTGAGGCGATAGCCCAGCAGCAGACGTCAAGTGTCAAGAACCAAGTTGAATTCAATTGTTCAAAAGAAGAAAATTACAGTTCTGTGAATCTAGGTTGTGGCTCATCATGCCCTTTACGCATGGGTTTAAAAATATCCATGATGTATATATCTTATGATCCCCTCTTTGAAGAAAGAAAGCGTGCACAGGAAAACACCGGAAGGAATGAGCTGAAGGGGAAAGTCAGCAGTGATTTCTCTCGTGGTGAGTTGTGAATGTTCCCTACCTTTCATAGCTATATGTTTTCTAATTTTCCCAAATTAGCGGATGTTAAGTTATTCATGTTTTAAGAATAAAATGCTTATGCACAGGGAGGCAATTCAAAAGTTAAAAGAGGTAAAAATGTAAACAGTCCTGAGTATAAACTCTCTTCCCGTCACGGTATCCGTTGTCAACAGTTTGCGACTCCTAGTAGGAAACAAAAATGCATATATGTTTCCTGAAGAGAGCATATATTACTTTTCGAACGGAATGAAAACCTTTTATTTTTAAAAGGGAAAGGGAAACACGGAATCTGAAGTTTTAAAGCTAATTTCCCTCTAATACAAAAGTCTTTTTTTTTTTCCTTTTGTGGTTAAGAGAATGTTTCTTTGCTGTCCTCTCACTACATAGTTTTTGTGGATTGGGGATTGGAAAACAGTAACTAAAAGGTCATCCAACAAAAGTGTTACGTGATACAGAAAATGCACAATAGAGATCCTTTTGCAATTCACATGCAAAAGTGTCCCATTTGAGAAATCCAAATCAGTATACTGAAGTAAGGAGCCATCCTACAACTAACTAGGTTAGATGTTAGGGATGTGGGGATGTGCGAGCAGAGGCCAGTGCTCCCTGGCGGGGAGCCCAGGGTGCTGGTTGAATTCCCAAGGCTGGGAAGTAAGGCTCAGAAATGCAGTCGTGGCCATTAGGAAGTGACTGCCAGGCTGGGACATGTAACAGGGTCATCCATCATGAAGATGAGGTCCTTATGGGGAAGGGGATAGAGGAAGGAGGTTTGGATTGGTCAGGAGAGCTTAGGAGGTGGACCTGACCTCCTAAAGAGACTGCGGCTCCTAAGGCCCCCGGGTTGGACATGGGAAGCAAGCGAGCTGTGCACCTGACCCCCCGCATGGGCTGCTCTGTCTGTGCTTTATAAGCTGCTCCATACGCCGCAGCCTGAGACTGAGAATTCTTTTTATGGCATGCCTATTTGCTCTCCGGTAGGCTTCTGAGAAAAGGAAACAACAGGAGTTGAAAGTAAGAGGGAGATGGGAGGAAATAATCATTATGGGATTGAGGCAATTTGGCTAATACATCCAAGTCCAGAGAAATCATCATTGTGGTTTTATGAGACCGCAGGGAAATGAGGTGACTTTTCCAGGCTGCCTTTACTGAGGTACATGAAAATAAAGAATTCAGCTACGCGGTTTACAATCTCTGACACTCTAAATGTTTATGCAGTACCAAGGTAGAAAATGAAATAAAATACGAACAGAGGCTCAGTCATGGAAAATGCTGCCTTACGTTTCAAATACTTGCCAGAAACTCAGTGGCTGCTGTACTGGCGAGAACTACAGCAGGAGATACTGTCCCTTCCACGTTAATGGCAGCCAAGCACCTGAGTCTTATAAAGAAAATTCAATACAAAGGGGTCTGATTGCATTTATCCTTATTATTAAACACTTGCACAATGGACATTTGATGAAGACCACATATTAGAAGATTTTTAATATTTAATATTTCAATGACACACGAAACGACACTTATTACATTATTAAAACAAAGAATAGCATGATACATACTCTCTTCCATAATATTTTGGTCTGTTCTCCACCTACATTAAAAAGAAGAAAAATATTAATAATGCATTCGAATTCAAATCAGATAGATAAAAATGCTATTCACATGAACGTAGCTAATCCTGATAGTAACTTTTATTACAGTTTTTACTCCTCAAATCAGAGATCCGTGAGACCACAGAGTTAACCAGTGCATTCCTCTATCTTGGATAGGAGTGATGTAGAATCATCATATTTCTCTAATCATTAGGCTCATTCCCCACCTAAACTCAACCACCCAATAAAGGAATTTTCAAAGGAAACAAAGGGAAATATTAAGAACTTTATAAAGATATTACAAGGCATCATCCGGAAAAAGAAAATGAATAAAACGCAAGCATTTAGTTAAATCTTCATCCAATTGTTTCATTATGTAGTCATAATAAAAATAAGTGTACCTGTATCTAAAAATAATTTGGTCTCTTTCCAGATCAAATCGATACTCTTTATTTTTAAACAAATGGCTAATGGTCTGAAATTCACTTGACACCAGAGGCAAGATACAGAGGACAACATTTACGGCTTAACTAAACATCATAAGCATCCCAGAAAACATTCTGCAATCACATTTTGAGCTGTTGGATCATCTCATTTGGTTTTTAGCACATATGTATATGATAATCTACTTTCTTGAGAACTTTGTTTTCTTATGTTCGTGGTGTTAGAATTGGTAAGAAATTAACATGAATTCTCACGCTCAGCTTTTGTTCTCCTAATCTAACTCCAGGGACACTGAAAATAGAGTAGAGCCACATTAAGTCATGGATTTTCGCTGATGGTTATGACAGCAAGTTTATGTTTATTTACTAGAGGAGAATGTGAGTCTGGCAACCATTTCATTTGCTGTCATTTCTGTCCACAATCAGATGGGCAGTTTTTTCAGCAGGGCTCACTGGCACAGTGGAGGGATTTCAGGGTCCTGGGCAGTTTCTTGGCTTCCCTTCACTCTCCAAAGGATGCAGGGGGATTTGAGTGGGCAGTCAGGAGCCATAGAGCAGAGGAAAAGGTTCAGAAAGGGAGAGTTGAGGACCACATTCACAAGCCTGCCTCGGACAAGCCTCACTGGTATAAAACTCATCATCTAGACACGTCTAAATATATGTTCACTCTTCTGTGCATTTCACACTTGAAAAGCACTGAACCAAGAGGGGGCGTTCATAACTCTTAACATTCAAGGTTTGAAGTCTGCTCTGTGTCATTTACAAAGGAAGATCTAAATAATATCATTAACAGAAGCACAAAGTGTGTAAAAGGCACCTTGTTATCGGATGTGTACCATTACTCTACATGCTGGGAAGCTTTTTGATAGGAGTTGAATATGTTGTCATTTATATCATTCTATTAGCTTTCAAAGTTCTTTCTTACTTTTATGATCCTGTACCTAGGTATCTGCAACACCAACATGCCATAGAAGAAATTTAGACTAGAAAAATCAATGGAAGGAAGTAATATACAACGGGCAAGATATCTCTCCGATCTTTGAGAGTCAATTTTCCATTCCTTTGAAATGACTCCCTATGTCTAAGGACAGCTTTATTTCCATCCTTTTGGCTGTGCCATAATAGACATTTGCAAATCTGGGGTTATCTCCCAGCCCGACCCCCCAGTTCTCGTCTCTTATCTCCCCGAAAGGGAAGAATAATTCATCTAACTTTCAGGATAGACAGCATGGAAGATAGAGCCTACCGCTAACTCCTGGCATGTAAATAAGTAGTTCATGAGTGTCGAATTTGACTCCTGAGAAGATAACAAATTGCTTTCGGTTCATTCGTCAATCATAAAAATACATGGCACGCTTATTATGTTCAGGGTTCTGTGCTCAGCCCTGCATTGTTCATGAAACAATAACCTCAAAGGTGCGGAGAGGAAAGGTCTGAGGAGCTCGGGAGTGTTCTGCTCTTGCAGCAGGAGGAAACACGTGGGAAATCTACCATAGGCCCCCAAAAACAAAAGTCAGTACTTACGGTGCCTTGCGGGATACCAAATAAGATCCTGCCTGTTAGAGGACAGGTTGACCTAAATGAGGGACAGATCCGCTTATGGGAACCACGAGAATATACAAGAGCACTGATTTGTGAGGGACAGACCACACATGGAATCGAGCCACGGAACAGGTCCCAAATATTGCACGGGATGTATACTAAAATATTACTCTTTGTTTATCTGAAGTTCAAATTTAACTAGGCATTCCGTTTTTCTTTCTTTTTTTTTTTCCCTAAATCTGGCAACCCTATAGGAAGAAAGGAAAGGTGGAGAGGTCCGAGGCAGGCAAGAGAGAGGATGTGGTCATTCATCTGGTAGCCCTGGTAGGGGCTGTTTTGATAGCAATCTGATTCAATCTTGGATACCTTTGTCGTCTCTGCCTTTCTTACAGAAAATAGAGCTGGCCTTATTAATGTTAACAAGAGAGAGAGCAGCTGGGATTTACAAAAAAAAAAGCACAACAAAGAAAAACTTCTCTTCCTAAACTTTTTGCTCACAGGAGTCTAAACATAGTCTCTCTCTCTCCACACTTCACTAAGCTTTTAACCAGTCAAGAGCTTAAATTAAGTGAAATGGCCCTGGGAAAATCATAGAACATCCACATGTTTTCAAAGTGGATAATACCGGGTCCTCAGATCCAGACAAAACTAGTCAGCTGGATGTCAGGACTCCCAGGAATAAAGGCGCTGACTAGATAGACTAGTAACGTCTACACTGTGACCCAGTAATGCCTGAAGAAGCCTGGTTCAGTCCCCAGGTGCGGCTCTGTGTCAGCCATCGATGGAATCAGGACTGACTCGTGAAACGTGGATTTATTAAAAAAGACGTAGCACCTGAATTTCAGTTTCCAATTGTACGAGATTCTTTTCAGCGAATGAGAGAGAAGACAGTTGATAAATAAAAAAGGAAAGCAGCTCAGAAGCTCTTCTCACATTCTCTTTGAAAATTAGGTTTGTTGAAATCAAGAACTTGCTTAAAAAAAAAAAATAGAGGGCTTATTGAGGTAGTCACATGGATTCAGGAAGGGATAAAAATGTAACATATCCCAACATGAAAGAAGGTTGGTTCTGGAGCATTCCTGCCATTCCATAATCTAATCCTGATTATCTCAGGATAAGAACTCGAGTTGGACAACCCATCATCTTGGGGAGCCTGGGCACTGAGGATACGACTCACAGAAATTGCATCTGCAATGCCAGATGAGTTAGTTAGTGCTCTAACTCCAAGCAGAAAGAAGCTCACCATTTTAGGAAAACAAAACAAAACAAAAATCTGATAATTTGTAGATATATTGCTGAACCCTAAAATACTGGATTCGTAGCTGATCTACCGGGTTCAGAAAGGAACGCCTCTCTTTACAGAAGAACAACACGCAGATGATCTGTGGAACAAGCAAACACATGACATGGGTCCTCCCGAAGTTCAGGTGAATTCAGTATGTGTGGTGGAACCATGCTGATTCTTTTTAAAAATGTAATTGAAGATTTTATTCTACATGCGCATCATCTATGGGAGAAGAGTCCCCCAGGGTGGGCAACACTCGCCATCGATGTCACTCTTGACCATAGCACTTTTGGAATTCCTCTTTTGTGACTTAGATTTTACTACCTTTCTCTAGAATATCCTTACAGCTGCCTTTCTCAAAGTGTGGTCTGGTCATTCAAAACAGAAACTTCAGGGTGCTTCGTAAAGATTACAGATTCCTGATCCGTATCTCAGACCAACTGAACCAGAACGAAGGTGGGGGAGCTGCGATGTGTTATTTGATTAATCCCCCAGGTGATATTTACACATACAGTAAAGTCAGAGTCATCAGCTTATAGAAACTGTATATTTGTGTTTTGAGTTGAGAGTAGATGTTATTTCGGCAAACAGGCAGAAGTTACTACTCCGAGCCACATTCAGCGAAAAGGGAAGTGATCCAACTAGGAAATACATTTGAGACAAGAATGAGGCATGACCCTAAGATAATAAAATCTGCACTGTGCCTTGTTCTGAAGGTATTTTAGGAGACATTCCCAACATGCTCTGAGCAATGGGAACTCGGCAGAAATAAAAGCACAGATTCCCAAGATGATGGATTCTATTTTAAATAGAAAAAAATTTGTCCAAAAATATCAATTTCTCCAGTATTACTAAAATGCCTTTAAATAACTATATAAGAATCTGATAAGAATTTCCTTTTTAAAAATTTTTAACGTTTATTTATTTTTGGGAGAGAGAGAGAGAGGGAGAGAATATGAGTGGGGGAGGGGCAGAGAGAGAGGGAGACACAGAATCTGAAACAGGCTCCAGGCTCTGAGCTGTCAGCACAGAGCCTGATGTGGGGCTCGAACTCACGAACTCACATAATATGTCTTTAAAGAATAATCTATCTTATGACTTTATAGTCACACCTCAAATATAATTATTGCCAGTACTGTGACTATTGAAAATGGGTTTAGTCCTGTCTAGTCCTGTCCATACTCCGTACAGACCATGTTTCTACTCATCTACAGCCAATGCAGACGGTCTGGCTTCCCTGCCGAATGGTCTCATCACCCCACATTCATCCTATGTTCCAATCAAATGAAATTACTTGTAGTTCCATAATTTACTCTCTGCCATATGTCCATTGTTTTTCATACGTTCTGATTTCAGATCTTGAACTCCCTTCTAATAAAATAGCGGCAGATCACGTGACTGTTGAAAGGGGAGGCTCTAGACTCAGGCTGCTTGGCTTTGACGCCAAATCCGTGTATCCCTAAGCAAGTTACGAATCTCTCTGTCCCTTGGTTTCCTCGTCTTTAAAATGGAGATGATAGGGGCGCCTGGGTGGCTCAGTCGGTTGGGCATCCGACTTCGGCTCAGTCATGATCTCGCGGTTTGTCAGTTCGAGCCCCGCGTCGGGTTCGGGGCTGACAGCTCGGAGCCTGGAGCCTGCTGGGGATTCCGTGTCTCCGTCTCTCTCTGCCCCTCCCCCACTTGTGCTCTGTCTCTCTCTATCAGAAATAAATATAATGTAAAAAATAAG